ATTTATTTATTTATTTGGACGAGTATTTCTTTAAACTCACTATGTGGTCATTAAAAGAAATCTCAGTGATGAAACATGAAAAGTTGCCCACCGTCATCCTTGGTTCTCTCCAGCACCGGGGGGTTGCTGAGTTGCCCATCACCAATTCGTGTGAAAGCCAAAACTTGTATTTCGTACTGGACGTATTTCCGCAAGTTCCTCAGCAAGACAGACTGTGTCAGATTCCCTTTCACCACGTTCACCTGTGCCTCTGAATCAGAGTCTTTCTCTTTGAACAGAACCTGGAAGAATAAGTAAGGATATTAAGCATGATTATAGCCCACATCACGCTTGTGTGATTTGGTGATTGTGAGTTTAATTTAAGATCACATTAAATGGAAATGCAGAGGGAAGGCAGACTGGCGTGAGGTTTGTTCCTCTGGGTCCAGTGTTCAGCAGGCTGCTTTTGTTTTTTCCGCCATAAAGCCTCCTTCCTTAATTACTATTGACTTTAAACCGCAGAAGCCTGACTGAACATATGGGTGCACATCAACATCTAACTTCAAATATTTGTCTTTCCGCATGGGTCAGACTCTCAGCCAATGCTTTAATAAATCAGTTCATTAGTGGAAAAAGAGGAAACATGCAAACATTAGGAGCTTTATGTGTGTCTTTTAAGAAAAGGAATAACATTTTTGAGATTTTATTACTACATTGTATGCTTTATGCTTTCATTTTAAGAATGAACCAAACCACATTGAGTTGCATTAAAATCTTATTCAGTTTTTATATTATTTGAACATGTTAGAAGTTTTGTTGTTGATTTTTGCCATTATGTTGGCTTGAGAAAGCCAATATACTGTTAAACTACTCTGTCCTCGAAAACAATGTATCTCCTCCTAGGCCTTCATACTATGAGGCACAAAATGTGCCTTCTGCATTCAAGATTTATGCTATATCTCCTTAATCAGACTTACAGTTTTTGAATATTAAAATGTTAAATATTTTAATAATCTGGGAATAATTTTGCACGTACAGTATCACTTTTACACTAATCAAGTTCACTATATATTTAATAAAATATGGCAAGCCCTTTTTACTTGATGTTCAAGTCCAGATTTTGACTGTAATAGAGGCATCGTGGTTGATTTATATCACTCATATTGGCAAGAAGCTTTGATGTATCATAACTAAGCTGTCAATTGTGCCCATAGCAACAAAACAGGCCATCCTAGCAACCATTTAAAACCAACAATAACTCTACATCAGAACATAGGGACCCATTGGCTCATCTGACTTATGCTAGCAAATGGGACTTCCTGTGTACTACGCATGGTCACAATGATAAGCAAAGTGCTAATAATAATTAGCTACACGCTAATAATGATTATCTAAGTGCAATAACATGTGCTAAAAATACCTACTAAGTAATAGCATTTGATCAAACATGCACACGAGCGTTGCTATTTAGCAACAGTTTGGCAACCACCTAGCAATGCCATAAACATTTTAGCAACTGCCCAGTCCTAGCACAGTCACGTTGGCTTTCTCAAACCAACATCAAATTTGTCAATAAACCTTAGGCTTTAGTTTTAATTTATTTTTAAACATGACAATACAGATATCAATTTAAAACTTATGAGCCAATACCAGTATCCAAGAAGTAGGATCATTTAATTGTAGCTAATATACAGTAATTAATTTTGTATATCCTTTTAACATTTGTTTTAGAATTTTAGTTGCAAACAATGTTATTTTGCTAGGATTGATATTGTGTTTGAAGGTTTTTATTTTTTACTTTATGCTTTAATTTTATTTTGTCAAAATCATTCACTTAAAGTTTTGTTGTCATTAGATTATTAGTTAAAAACTAAGTCTATAATTTTTAAAATTCTAATTATTTTCTTAATATTTCTGCATTGGTTTATAGAAATTTAATACATAAATCCATAAACTGTCAATACATCCCTGAGAAAAAAATAAGCTTAATCATACTGTCCCTGCAGGCACACAACATCAAGACGTTAATATGAGGTTAGATTTAGCTTATGACATCAGGTGACCAAAAACCAATGACTAGCCAGTGTCTAAGGACAACAAATTACATTGATAATTGGTTGATTTAAATGGATCAACAGTTTAAATCAACCGAATACTTCATTTTCTCATTAAATCTTGACCAATCAAATGCTTTCTAGTATCTGACATGCCTCGCCCTCGTCAAGACGCTCTCATTTGCTTTATATTTGATGCGCTTGATCTCAACCACTCTCGCTCCAGAGCTGTGATAAACACAAAACTCTATTGGCTGTTTTTAAAATTTTTTAAAGAGGAGCAACTTTAAGTCCCACCCTCTCTTCATTCTTTGGTTGAGACTGTCAAATATCGAATAAAAAATGCACATTTCAAAGCTCTTCACGGGACCTTAAAGATTTAGATTCAAGAATATTTAGTAGAGTACTGAACGATGTTATTTTAATAGCAGTCCCATTGTATTATTAATTTAAGCTACATTTATGTTTATAACAAATATGGATTTTAGTTTTTTTATTTTAGTTTTAGTTATTTATAACCCTAGTTGTAACGAATAGTCATTATAGAAAGAACATACATATTGCTTCCTCTTCCTAAAAAGAAACAAACAAACATCAAATCTTTCATGTCATTTCATCATACACAATATGGCTGAACGGGTCAATCATACATGAGAAAAGACTTTATTCACTTCTGAGCTGCTTATTACACACAGTCAAGCGCTCATGCAGCAGTCTGATGTCATTTTTACTTGGGTGAAATCAGTAAGAAAGTAAACCTTGTATCCAAGGATGTTGCCGTTCTGCTCGTGTTCGGGAACAGGACCCCAGGTCACCAGGATGCGACTGGAGCTCATGGCCTCTGCCGTCACATTTTCCGGAGCCCCTGATGGCACTGTGCAAACAGACAAAGACAAATCACAGTCCTTTATCGGCCTCGAGCCCTGAGTAAACTCACATGGATTAGTCAGCGCTTCAATGTCATGAGGGAGGAACCAAAGCAAACAGCATTAGCGAGTGAGACGCTGTACAGACACTCACGTTGCCTAGAGCGTCTGTACATCCAATGACCACCTTCATTTGCTGATGACTGTCATCCAAGAGCAGATTTATAAGTGAACCACTTGTGGCATTAACTGGGATTGCAATCTAAGCTTGGGATATTTAAGACTGGGTTGACCAGCTGGATAAATTATGGCTGAAATAATCTAATCATCCAAACAGGAACCAAAAGCAGCGTTGGGGGGAACGCATTACAAGGATTGCGAGTTATGTATTATATAATTTGTGTTACAAAACATATATCATTACTTTTTTAAGTAACAAGTAACGCATTACTTTTAAAAATGAAGTAATAATATTTGAGTTACTTTTTTAAAATAAATAATGCAAGTTACCTTTTAGTTTAATTAATTAGCTTATAAAAAATAAATAAATTAAAATGAACTTAATCATGTTGAATGACTAAGAAACATGTCATGGACTGTGGGGGAAACCGGAGGACCAGGAGGAAACCCATGCCAACATGGGGAGAACAGGCAAACTCCACACAGAAATGCCAACTGACCCAGTCAGGGCTCGAACCACCAACCTTTTTGCTGTGAGGCAATCATGCTATCTACTGCACCACCATGGCACCCCATATAATAAAATGTAAATGTACAAATGGTGAATAAACAATAAAACATTTCAAAGATGCCAAAAGGGTGAAATATGTCTCATGTAAATCTCATGTATGTCTCATGTAAAAAGAAGAGATAAGTAAAAGAAGAAATAAGTTGAAGTAGACGAATGATGTGTGTGGCAATGGGGTGGGTTAGGGTAAATAACAAGCTTGCGCTTCATTCTATTCCATTTCGACCATGATGAAATGTATTTTGTTTAAACAATTATTTTGTGTAGGATTTTTTTTGTTTGTAAAAAATAAATCAAATTAAATCTTGAAATATAAAAAAAATTATAAATATATATAAATATTTTATAACATTGCGTTTTCTGTCTACACCTACTTTCTGAATAAAATAGTTGCAATACATTTTAATTTCATATTTAATTTGACTCTGGCATCAGCATGGCGGCATGCTATAAACAACCCACAAGCTCTGTGGTGCTGACTTCTGCATGTGTAAACATCTTACTCAATGCCTTCAAGTAAGCATATTTGCAATTCAGTGCGATATCGCCAGTGACACAGAAATGACACACTTCACCTTTAAGTATCAGATTTGTGGAGTTTCCGCTGCAGTCATTTGGAGCCATAAATCTCTCTTGTGTGCATCTTGCAGTACAGATAAGTGGTGAAAGCAGGCAGCCAATCAGCTTTCTCTTATCTGCCGTGTAGACATGCATTCAGAGCAGCTCACAGTCACACGGAACCATCACATAAAAGAAGCTAAATTCGATTTGCCGACCACCTGTTTACATCCGAGAATATGATTATCTCAAAATGGAAATTTAAAGATGCCCTCACTGCATCACAGTGACAACATGTGCCTCTGTTTCCCACGGGGCTCAGTTTGGGCTGGAAACACGGTTATGAATGTAGGCATTATCAAATGCTAAAATTAAACTTAATGATAATACGCTAATGACAACAATAACAAAACATAGCCACAAGCAGAAGTTAAGGGGCCAAGCATTACAGAGGCTGGAAGCATCAGACCACCTGCAAAAATGAGAAATTAAAGCCATTTAGAGGTGACTCGAAGTAAAGCGAGTTAGAATGTGACTTGTATGCTTGGCCCTGTAACTGCTGCTTATGGTTATTTATTTTTTGTTATCATTAGCATATTTTCAGTAAGTTAATTTTAACTTTTGCTAATATTTGTTTTCAAACTTGAGACCGATATATGGTGGTGGTACTAAACTGATGTGGTGTTTAACTCTAATTTCTCACTTGTAAGTGCATGGTTCATTCATTCAAGCTTTTTATATAACTATAATTTCCTCTTATAGCTAATTATTTTCTTTATTCTCTATTTCCACCAGGGGATACATATCCTGAGGCTTCTAGAGATTGTGTAGTGGCATTGATATGATCCAAGACCTGGGAAGAGATGATGCCATAGTATCCATAATCCTGGACCAGGCCGTATCTTAAGCTGATGCTGTGGCAGTCACGGAGGAGTGGAGAGCATGAGACTGATTCCTGAAAGACCGCAGTGACAGACGAGTCCTTGCATTGATCCCATGGGCCATGCCTGATCACCCGACAGTGACCTACCCACACCTGCAGCTTCTCCAGGATGGACGTCCAGGGTTTTCCAGTCTCCGCTGCCTAGACTGCAGCTCTGCACAAGAAGTTTGGCGAGAGGAGAAATGGTTGTGCCCAACTGAGCCTGGTTTCTCCCCTAGAATTGTTTTCTTTCACTTTCATCCATTGGTGAATTTTTGTTTCTCGCCACTGGCTTGCTTGGTTTGGGAATGCACATCAAGGGTTTTGCTCTTTAGTGCTTGGACTTTCAGCAGTGAAAACACTAAACTACAATACACTAAACTGAACTTCAACTCTGAAAACTGTACTGAGACAGTTTCGATTTACTAGACCTTCTATGTTAAGCTGCTTTGACACAATCTACATTGTAAAAGTGCTATAGAAATAAAGATGAATTGAATTGAAGCTGTCATTGTAATATTATGTAGTGTTTTGACTGGTATACAAAAATGGTGCATTTTATTCCCCCTGTTTGATGCTGTACTGTTGTTATAGATACACTTACAAAAGAGTAAAAAAGTGGTTACTCTTTTCTACAGTTCACTCTTTTGGTGCTTCTATCGTAGCAGAAATACAGCCTTTAATGCAGTTTTACATCATGCAAGCTAATTTGTTTAGTCTATCTATAAGAATGCCAGAATATACTAAAGATGAGTGAGGTCAAATGTGGCAAAATTTAAAGCAACAGTCAAGTAAAATTAGAACGTTTCATTAAAATATGCCACTGTGCTTTTAAAGTAAAGCACCTTAAACAAAATTCGAAATATTTGAAATCTAATATTTTATATTGTTTATCTCCGTATGATAGAATGAAACATAATGAGATCAGTCAAACCATTACAATCAGAAATCCATTTTATAAAATCTTCTGGCCACTATGTCATAACATAGCATTTATTGAACTTATTCTTCACATACAAGCGGGCGCAGCAATTTGAAACTTTCTGGCCCGAGACTTCTGGTCTCATTCACTTAAAATCCACTCGTTATGCTGCTTGATGTTGCAAACTTATGTTTTCAAATTATTCTGCTTTGTCTGTATAGTCATAAACACACTTGTTTGTAAAGCAAGGAGTTTTACCATTTTCTGCTGTTTATTATTTTTAGTCATTTCTCCCATAGGCGGCTGAATTAGAAGTTCTAAAACAATCACAATAAAGAGTGAATTTCTGCATTGCAGAATAAGGTCAATAGCCTCATGTCCACTTTTAAGATCTCTTTGTCAAATTTGTTTCCATGTTATTTGTCAAATTAAAAGGTTCTTAGCACAGATTTTCATCCAAAATTTTAAATTACATCATTATTTATTCTTCCTCTTGTGGTTTTAATTGATTATGATTTTCACTCTTCAGTTGAACACAAAAGAAAATCATTTGAAAAATGCAGGTTGATGGTGCCCATTAACTTTCATAGTAAGATAAAAACAATGGAAATCAATGGCTACCATCGAACAAAATAGCAGAAGAAAGTGAGGAAATGATGACCGATTTAATTATTGGGTTAACTTCCCCTTTTTGTAACAGTTTTTTTTTACATTTCGTTCCCCCACAGACTCAATAACTAAAGAAGAAAAAGATAAAGAACACTAACAGATTCAAGAGGTACATACACTTCTTTGGTGCTTGGCCTCAAAGGAATGACCAGACTTTTTAAAGCACATATCTAAGTAGTACGGATACATTTTTAGAATGCCGTTTCATGCAAGTAAGGCTGCAAAAGATAAAACCAATGGTCAAACATGTACATCAAGCACAATCACATAGAAAACTGTAGAAAAGAAGCAAAGTGGAATGAAAAATTCAGTAAAGAGCTGTTACTGTATGTTTGATATATTTTATGCATGACATTTAATATTTCATGCTCTTCATTTTAGAAAACATTTACAGATAATACATGATATCTAATGTGTTTAAACTTTATTATAATTTTAAATTTTTTATGAAAGTACATATGTTTCGGACAAGCTTAAACAATAGTACTATTTGCTGTAATTGTATTGTACTTTTAACATGTAAGATATAATAATATTAGGAACAGAACTTTCCTATATCAGTCGGTTTTATATTTTTATGAAAGAGAATGCTCCTTAAATATTGCAGATTAACGGTTCTACATGAAACAAATCTGTAATTTGTAATAGAGTTGCAAAGGGACAGAACATTTCCAGCAAATTTTCCAATTTGGAAACTTACCAGGAATTTATGGGAGTTTATTAGAAATTTACAACATACAAATGAGAAATTTACATATACAAACATAAGCATTCTTTGGTCATAGCCTGAGATGCATGTAAACTAATACGTTTTTAAATATGTTTATTTTTATTCTATTGATTTATTTGCAGAATAAGATTGCCGGTAATTTTCCGGAAAGGTTGTATGTGTGAACAGGTCCTTTTTGAAAATTACCGGTAAATTCGTTCTGGCTATTTTCCGGAAAGAGAAGTTGTAACATTAACGGCAATTTGCCGGAATGCTGCGCTGTGTGAATGCAGATGGAAGATTGCCGTAATAAGCGCGTGCACGTCTAGAACGTGCTGACGTGAGACGTCTGCTTTAGCCAATCACAACAGTCAGAAACATTTACGTCTGCGCGGTTTGTGAGGATAAAAGCCTTTGAATATTTTTCCAGACACAGTTAGCTGCTAGAAGTTAGTCAGATCACGTTTATATGTTCTTCTTAATGCCAACTGTGTAAATAATCATCGATGAGATGCTTATGATAAGCCGTTGTTTGTTTACCTTCAAGCTTTGCGTGTGCCTGTGAAACAGCCTGTGAGCGCCTGCACACGCACATATTATGAACATCTCGACATGCGAAAGTTGTTCACAATATTGATCATCCACAGAGTCTGTAATTTAGTCAAATGTTTACAAATACAAGCGCAGCCGTTTAAAGCTCATTTATGGTGAATGATGTCAAAATTTACCGGTATTTTGGAATGGATGTGTGAATGCTCTTTTCCGGAAAATTTCCGTAACGTCCTCGCCTGTGTGAACAGCGCTTTTTTGAATATACCGGTAAAGTCGTTCCGAAATTTTCCAGATATTTACCAGTATCACTGTGTGAAAGTGGCTTTAGTCTAAATGTATATTGTACATAGTTTAAATATACTCCACTGTTCACTCTTATGTTTTTATTACAATAGGTTATAATTTTAGAGTTATACTAAATTAGTTAATACGATTATTAATGTTATTTTAATAAAAATTAGGAGATTTCCCATGGCAACTCCTAATGTAATATAGTTTGATTTATTTACCTTTGGCCCACGACTCATAATGATATTTGTTTTTTTGCCCTTTATGCGAAAAAGTCTGGGCATCCATGGTCTAGATCAGAATGCTTACTAAAAATTTGGACTTATTAACATTTATGTTTTTGAAAGAAGTCTCTTATGCACATCATCAATCCTGTATTTATTTTCAAAAATACAGAAACCCTTGTAAAACATTAATTTTGTGAAATAATTATACAACTTATTTTGTCATTTTATTTTGTTTGACAAGGTTTCATGTGAGAGTAGAAATGTGCAGAGTAGAAAATCTATTCAAAATGCTTTAAATCTTATTATTTTACCCTTTAACTATATTCAACATTTAACGCTATTAGCTAATATACAATTTTGTAAATTACCAGTTTATTGCCATTAATTCCTATATATTCCTGTTAATTCCCATATTTTCCCATTGATTGCCATGGAAAGTTTCCATCTTTAAAAATGTCCTATAATTTAGCAACCCTAATTTGTAACTAGTCAGACGCTCTAAAAAACTAACAAAACAAAAACAACAAAACACAAATAAACTAGTATAAGAGTCAAAATTATTATGAGAGTCATTAGTGGCCATCTGGTTGTCCTCACCTGACTCCCGTGTGCGTCCCTTGACACTTTCACTCCAGGGTCCGGGGCCTATGGAGTTGAAGGCCTGGATCTGCAGCTGGTACTCTGTCCACTCCTCCAGGCCCTCGAGTGTGATCTCCCTCTCTAGCCTGTCGTTCAGCAGTCTTGTGCTGGCCTCACCCCGCAGGTCTGCCCGCATCACCCTCACCCTGTAGCCCACGCTCTCTGGGTTCCCATTGTACTCACTCTCTGGCAGAGGCTGACAGAGACATCACACGCTCTCAGTGAGTCAACAGAACTACTGACAAACTTCATCAATGGTAATGAAGCAGAGAAAGAAATGATAGATGCGTCATGAATTTAATGAATACATACAGTAGACGATAAATGACATGAAGAAAAAATAGCACTGTAAGACATTAATAATGCACTAACGATGTCTTTCGCTGAAGAAAAATATAGAAAGAACTTATTTAAATAATTTAGGCTCAGCACTGAAATGCTGTATATGATTAATCATGTATATTCATAAAGTTAATGATACATGCTGAGCCAAATGCGCAGTTTTTACATCATTTTAAACACTGTGTTCATCTATTTATTTTCTTTTCGCTTAGTCCCTTTATTAATTTGGGTTCGCCACAGCGGAATGAACTGCCAACTTATCCAGCATATGTTTTTACGCAGCGGATACCCTTCCAGCTGCAACCGATCTCTGGGAAATATCCATACACTCTCATTCACACTCATACACAACGGACAGTTCAGCTATACGACATGTCTTTGGGCTGTGGGGGAAACTGGAGAACCTGGAGGAAACCCACACGAACGCAGGGAGAACATGCAAACTCCACACAGAAATGCCAACTGACCCAGCCGAGGCTCGAACCAGTGACCTTCTTGCTTGTGAGGCGACAGCACTAACTACTGCTCCACTGCTTCGCCCGCATGTTCATTTAGAGTTATATTCATAAATGCTTATGCTTGTGTTAAAATACATAGCGAACTGTGAGTAGATTGTATAGTTACACCCCTCATTAATACAGTAAGAACTTTCCCAATGATTATTTGATGTATTTGTTGTGGAATTAATTCAAGCCTTTCTGCAATTATAAGTTACACACATATGTCTTTATGACTTTGTCTTTGCAAAGTTCACACACATATGCACATGCACACACACACACACACACACATATATATATATATGCACCGGTTTCCCCCAGTCCAAAACATGTGGTACAGGTGAATTGAGTAGGCTACATTGTCTGTAGTGTATGAGTGTAAATGAGTGTGTATGGTTGTTTTCCAGTGATGGGTTGCAGCTGGAAGGACATCCACTGCATAAAACCTATGCTGGATAAGTTGGTGGTTCATTCCACTGTGGCGATCCCAGATTAATAAAGAGACTAAGCCGACAAGAAAATTAATGAATAAATTTTATTTTATAATTATTTTCACAACATTGTGTTTTTACTGAATCAAATAAATGCAGCTTTGCTGAGCATAATTGATGTTTTTTATGAAATAATACAACAGATCCCATTTTAAACATTAGTGTGTCTCAAAATCTTTGAACATTTGCTCTATTGCAATTTGACATTTTTAATTACCTGACCTTTTAAAAACATTTCTTTCCTCTACTAAAATTACAGGCCATTTGAGTCAGAATCAAATGACCTGAAAATCAAAAATATGATGAAATACAGGCTAAATTTAAAAACTCTTTTATTAGAGAAAAACAGAAGAAAGAGTGTAAAAATAAACAGAGCAGCCTCTATAACGCGCAGCCTCAGCAGAGTCTTGAACATTGCTAATGCAAGCACAGCATAACCCAATTAAATATACACGCTCCTATAAATCTTATATTTATATTTAATACGCATATCTAATAATCCTCCATCATTTACGTGCCAAACCAAAACAAAATCAACCAAGCGATTTTGACCGGGAGCCAAAAGGTAAGTGAGATGTCACAAACCGGCAAAACATCAGCTCTCATGTGCTTTTAATTTGACAGGTAAAGAGCTTCAATTTGAGAAAC